ACATCTGCTTATGACGATTCGAGTACTGTAACTGACACGGGATCTGAGGTGAGCGTCGATGTCAAGCGGAATACTTGGAAATCTGCTTGGCAGGCATCATCCACGAAATATCAGGACATTTCATAAAAAGTGCGCATCACTTAAAGGCGTGGTGCGAGAAATAAAAGACGGGTTCATCGACATTGCTACACTCCAAATCTAATACATTTAGTTACGTCACTGCACAATTTCGTCTTTCCAGCTGCTAAAGAAAATAAAATAAGAAAAAAGAAAAAAATAAAAAACGGCATGAGCAGCAGAGTTAGAGGCGAATTTTCATGAGGCGTTTTAGAAGAAAAATCTATTGCTCAAGTTTATGACATGTTTTCCAACATTTAAAAACCAGCGTTGTTCAAGAGCAATGCCGACAATTCGGTATGAATGTTCAAGGAAGGAAGAACAGACACAGGAAAGACTGAAGTGGTGCTCACCCTCACTCACTTAATGTTCACTGGCGTTGAACGGTGAAACTTAGAGACAGAAGGATTGCTGATCCTCCTCGCGAAAACCGCATTTGGCCGAGATGAATTGTGCTGTGAATTGGATAAGAGAGATGTATGTATTACCTCAATTCTTCACAGAATCAGAATTTCGAAACCGAATTGGTGGTTTGGTGTGGTGGAAATTTTTAGGCTTTATTTTATGGCGACCACACTCCAAAAAAAAGTCCATCACTGCTGATGTGTATCAGCAGTCACTTGTTGATTATTTCGGCAAATGGATGGCGGCACGAAATTAAGAAAAGATCATTATCGTTTGTGATCATGCATACCCACACGCAGATCGAATTATGCCGCAGTTTTCGGACGAAAAGTATGAAACCCGTAGTTTTATACGACGTATTCACCAGACAAACTAGGGTGTGACCTCAGCTGTTAAGGTCAACGGAAGGCCAGTTTTATTAGCAATCGCTTTGATAATTGGACGTCCGATAATTTAAGTAAATTTTAATGCATTTCCACACTTCAAACAAAACCGTATGATACAAGTATGCTTCTCTAATCAGGAATACCTCATCCACTCCCACTTCTACAGCAGATGCTACCACAACACAGGCCTCAACTACAGTTGATACGACCACCACAACAGAAACCTATACAACAGATACGTCGACTACCTCAACAGAAACGTCTACATCGGCTACGTCGACTACCTCAACAGAAACTCTTACAACAGTTACGTCGACTATCTCAACAGAAACATCTAGAACTTCGTTTGCGACTGCCTCCGACTACGAATATTCCGATACTTCTACGACATTTGCATATGACGACTCCACAACGTCTGTAACTGACACGGCAGCAGAGGTGAGCGTGAGCGAAACATGAGCAGCCAAAATAGAGGCAAGTTTTCAGAAGGGTCGTCTTGGAGAAAACCTACTGCTCAAACTTATGACAAGTTGGCCGAAAAGAGAGCAGCGTTGTTCAAGAATAATGCCAAAAATCGTTACTAATATTTAAGGAAAGAAGAAGGGACGCGAGAAAAGATGGGGTGGATGAAACCAAGCGTCGAATGGTAAAACTCAGAGATGGGACGATTGCTGATCTCAATCGCGAGGGCCGCATCTTGGTCGAGTTCGAATTGTGCCAAGAATTGAAGATGGTAATGAAGATGTGTGTATTACCCCGGGATTTCAACCGAAATGGTGTCTGCAGTGAAATTGTTCCTTGCCACCAAAGTTATACTCCACTATTAAACATTTGTTGGTTACACGCGAAGCACTGGTGGGTTTGCATGATGAGCTCAGAAACGGCGCGTCCAGTTTGGAAAAATGTAGTCAAGGAGTCGCCAGCAATGACTTGTGCAGGTTCATGTGCTGCGAACCTGTCACTCATTGTGGCCGCAGAATTTTTAGGCTTTATATTATGCCGACCACATTCCAAAAAACAACTCTCACTGCTAAAGTGTATCAACAGCCTCTTGATGATTATATCGACAAGTAGATGACGGTACACAATTAAGAGAAGTCATTATCATGCAAGTCCGCACGCAGATCGAATTACGCTGCAGTTTTCGGACGAAAAGGTATTAAACCTGTGGTTCTATCCGACGTAATCATCTAACCTACCAGGGTGCGACCTCAGCTGTTGAGGCCGACGGAAGGTTACCAACAGTAGCGGCTTCTGAAGCAGACCTGTACAGCATCTTATCCGCACTTGCTGAAGAGAGGAAACTGTCTGTTGCCCAGATACTACCTGGATGTTAGGAATGGAATGTTGCAGCAATGGAAAATACTTGAGTTTTCACTAACAAGGGAAGGATCCCAAGTCGAAGTGGCCATTTGAAATGGGATCTATACTGCTATGCGTATTTTTTGATGCTGATTTCAAATCTGCATTCAAAATCTGCCAAACGATTATCTGAACGAAGTTATGGAGATGGTCTCCGGAGAGCGCTCAACAGGGGAAAGCACAAAAGCATGGTCGCCGACATTCCAGCAGTGGCGGCTTGGAGTGGAGGTAAGCGTGACGCTTCATAGGCACGGGACCAAGGATCGGGTTTGATGGGTGATGGCGCTTTTACATCTTGTAGGACTTTTCTCTCCAAGTTGAAGAATTTGTTTATGTTAGTTTTGCCGCCTTCAGTGACTTTCTGATTGCTGGAGGCGAGTCAGTTCCTACTTAAACCATCTGACATCTACTCCAACCACCAACATAATAAAAATTCTATTCTTATTGTTATACATTTCAAATTCGCTGTAGGATAACTTTTACCTATTATAAGCGGATGCGATAATATAGGACGAAGTGTTCAAAACAAAAAAGTCTTTCACAATAAGCGCAATTAATGAACAAATTTCACTCTTCTCATAGCGCTTTCCATCGGGATTTGTTTGTTATCTCGCTCTAACCAATGTTCTAGGAGGAAGAACCTGCACCTGCTCTTTGGACTTTACCACATTACCAAACATCAACGACCCTCTAGACGAGCTTGCTGTTTCTTCTTCATCATCCAGTTCCCACAGTGGATCGGCCTCCTCGTCCTCAATCACCCAGACTTCTTCGCCCTCAATATCGAGGTCTTCGTAAAAGGAATTCCGAAGATAGAGGAGAAACTATCTATCAACTTGTGCCCCTTCCTTGTAGGGACATCACAGGATCCGAAATACTCCTCGTTCTTTAGTGTTACATCCATCCTTATATACCATACTTTGCCGCGTTTGCCTCATGGCATCCCTTACCTTTATTGAAAACTGACCACAACCCCCCACCTTCTTCAAAAACAAATCGATAACAGTGGAAGACGGTTTAACTCACTGACGACCGACAAAAAATACAACTGCAGTCCACATGTGGACTGCAGTTGTATTTTTTGTTTTATTCATCTAAATCTCCATTTTTTTTCGATTCTTGTTCTCAAAACATTACATCAGGCCTGAATGAAATCACGTAAAGCGTGGTCCTAGAAAATCTTCTAATTTTGCAATTGTAAAGTTTTTTTCCGAAGGAGTACATTACCTTGGTGAATTTTTCATTCGTTGAAAAACTTCAAAGAATGAGATATTTTGAAAAGACGGTCATTAGCATTTCCAAATGCACAGCTCGTGAAAATTTTCCGAAACGAATTCTGATAATGAGTAGCCCATTGGCGACCGCGCCTGTTAAATTGTCCTTAGACTAACTTTTAATTCCTCTTATAACTGTGGTTGGAAATGAATGACTCTTGGACCACGATGCCTCGAGATTCTCTAGAAGGTTGTAAGCTCAATTGATTCTTGGAAACATGAAAAAAACTATAAGAACACGTGATAAATAATATAAATAATACGGGAGCACGATACGGCTTGGCCCGCCCGCGGGCCACGCGGTCATCAATGGGATAAGTAGGAATTGACTCGCATCCAGCAACTAAAAAGTCGCTGAAGGCGGTTAAACTAAGATAGAAAGATTTTTACAACGTGGAGGAAAAAGTCCTGCAAGATGCAAAAACGCAGCAGACCACCAAACTCAATCCTTGGTACCGTGCTTGTGAAGCGTCACGCTTACCTCCACTCCAAGCTGCCACTGCTAGGCTATCAGCGACCATGGCTTTTGTGCTTTCCCCTGTTGAGCGCTCTCCGGAGA